CATTATTATATAGCCAATTCCTCATTGCTGCATGATAATATAGAAAAAGAGCAAATAAGTTAATTTACTTACTTCTATTGATTGTCTCCACAAGTTCAAAAGGAGTAATGAATTTGTTCCAATTATGCGTTCCTTTAGGCACTAATCCGAGCAAATATTCAGCAGTTATTATGCCCAAGAGGTGAGAAGCGCAAGTACGATTCAAGGTGGTTACGAAGATATGCCCACCTGGCTGAAGCAGAAAAAGAAAACCAGATCTTAGTAATTCCGTATTCCACTAAAAGTAGGTAATGGTAATGCTCAAATTCATGTCGATACTCGTTGAAAAGTTTAATGCAGTTCAGCCTATGATGCCACAATTAAAATACTATATAAAGGCTGACAATCTGATCCATCTAATCTAAGATAAGGGTAGCAGGCGAGAAGTAAAATGAATTGACTTATGGCTAGTGCATTTACTACCTGCTATGTTAGGCCTCACACGTCCATTCAGGACGCTTAAATAAGCCCCACCGAATCCAAGCGCTTAACGAATTCTGCGGTATCCGACAGCTCTTCAAGGATTGACGCATTCATATTATGGTTTGCTATCGAAAAATGTCATAAAATACACCTTGATCTCAGGACCACTGTTAAATACGAGTTATGAATGAAATAATATCAGTTATATGAGATGTATACAGTATTTCGCCTACATAGTTTTCATTGCATGTAAGCTTTTGTGAAGCAGGGCCACTCTTTTACATTTATTATCGCATATTCTTTAAAAAGAAGTGATCATCTCCATTTGATATTTCGCAGAAGGTGAACACCTAAAAATACTCTAATTGAATTAACATGTAACGTTCTACCTGGGAGCAAAATCTTGGCTTTGAATTAAGCCGTCCGTTACTAACCAGTCCCATCATTTACCGTCAACAGAGAATGCCCATTCTCCTCGCCATTCGAGATATTCGATAAATGACTTTGTCTCTAATCGAGAGTAGTAAAGGTGATTTAGAAACCTTGATTGGTTTTTTATTTTGAAACCATTTACCCAGAAGAATTCAGGTGACGATAAACTAATTTTTAGGTGCCATTCTCTTAGCCTTATTACTGGGTGAACGTATAAGAAGTGCTTAAATTAGTGGTCTTGAGGCTAATATACAGAGTATGTATAGTTATTTCCATAGTCGGAAGGTGGACGTAGCACATTCCCAGACGTTTTACCGGCATTGTCAGTGAGCCTTGCCACTCCTAGCACCATACTACAATTCGTCAAAGAGACAAGTAGAGCCGATCTTTGGACCAATTGCCTGCAAAACAATTGTGGTATCTCTCCTGCCCTGTGCTATTCGCCAATGCTATATCCTCGCATCACCCCTTCATTATCGTAATTTCGCATTTAAATGTGATATGGTGTGCCCTTATTTAGCGGATTTCATAAGAATTTTCCAAGCCCCAGGCTGGCTTTCTTACCCAGTCACCACTCAATCCTTTTCCCATAGGTCTTATTAGAGTCTCCCTCTTGCCCCATAGGATTCGCCTCCTACCTTCCTGATCCAGGTATTTCACTCGACCCATGCCACCATATCTGCACTACTCGAAGCGTTATTTCCCACACTGTCTCAAGCCTTTGATAACATGCATACTCCCGCATCGCTGAGTAGGATTCTCAAGCTGGATGGGAGACTAACTTGAAGCTAAAAATCCCGAGTAATTCTCATGGTCAAGCCTTTGCTTCAAAGGCCCCGTCTATGAGCAAACGCGCTTACGGTTAGCCAACTAGCTCTAGTCTCAGCCGCATCCATCGCGCTTTTATCCATGGTGCTAAGTCTATTACTTCCTATGCCCTAGTCTCTTGTGTGCCAACACGCAATGTTGTAGTTCAAATTGAACCTAATCAAAAGAAATAGAACAATAACATTTGTGTATTGGCATACAAGAGACTAGGGCATAGGAAGTAATAGACTTGACACTATGGATAAAAGCACAATAGATTCGGCTGAGACTAGAGCTAGTTAGTTCACCCACTAATAGAGCTAATAGAATGGTAATTTCTGAAAATTCGCTTCTCGTCACTTTAGCTCTTGTGGGTAAATGGTTTCAAGATGAAAGACCAATTAAGGTCTCTAAATCACCTTGACTACTCTCGATATGGGAAATAACGCTTCGAGTAGTGCACATAGGGTGGCAGGGGTCGAGTGAAATACCTGGACCAGGAAGGTAGGAGGCGGATCCTACGGGGCAAAAGAGAGACTCTGATAAAACATATGGAAAAATGATTAAGTGGTGACTGTGTGAGAAATTCAGCCAGGGGTTTGGAGAGTTCTTATGAAATCCGCTAAATAAGGGCACACCATACTACATTTAAATGTGAACTTACGATAATCAAGGGGTGATGTGAGGATATAGGATTGGCGAATAGTCAAGGGCAGGAGAAATACCACAATTGTTTTGCAGGCAATTGGTCAAAAGATCGGCTCTACTTGTCTCTTTTGACGATTTGTAGTGTGGGATGTATTTACCGTATTTCATTTAAGGTGATGAAGGACTGGTAGTAGAATTTCCCTACAATGATATGAGTCGAGCTGACGTTTCCATTGAATTTCGCAGAGCCTTGCTTTCCCAAAAGTTGTTTTCATCCAGGTTGGACTTCAGTTTCGACCTCTCATCGGTCTTATCAACATCCCAGCGGAAGTCGAACCGTAACAGTGCAGAATATAAGTTTGACACGTTAGCCACTCGGCCACATTGCCACGAGTGCTCTTGGGTGACAGGGCAGATGTGAATTTCAAGGAAGACCAGGCATTTTCCATATCATATTCTTTGGTGGGATTGCCAATGAAGTAAACGTGTACTTGCAATAGCAATCGACTAAGTTACTTATTTTTCGTATCTAATTAGAGTTTCAAGACTACGATTAAATCAGTAATATGAGGGCAAGAGGGAGACTGATAAGAATGGTAAGTGGGTGAGAAAGCCAGCCTGGGGTTGGGAGAGTTCTTATGAAATCCTGTAAATAAGGGCACACCATACCACATTTAAATGCCAAATTACGATAGTGAAGGGGTGATACGAGCATATAGGATTGGCGAATAGCCCAAGGCAGGAGAGATACCACAATTGTTTAGCACACAATTGGTCGAAGGATCGGCTCTACTTGTCTCTTTGACAATTCTTAGTATGGTGCTAGGAGTGGCAAGGCTCACTGACGATGCCGGCAAAGCGTCTGGGAATGTGCCACGTACACGGTCCGACTCTGGAAATCATCATGCATACTATGGACTCCGGACATGGTGAGTTACTCTAGGTCTTCTTGCCAATATGACCAAGTTGTCAAAACAAGGTCAAGCAGGTTTAAATGAGTAGGCGAGATCATTAAATAACAAGAATTAATTAGGATTTGAGAGAAGACTTTGGTATAAGACAGAAAGTCTATTACCTTGAGCAGCAAATTCGCTTCTTCAATCATGCTTCGCCAGTCTTCCACGTGCTCCAGTAGCTCAGACATAACCACAGCATCATATCTTGCCTCAGCATTAGATGTTAGTGCCATCTCTTTATCATGAGTGCCAGCCCCGATGATAGATGCCTTGCCGTTTTGATTATCAGGTGACAATTCAGCAGCCATGGAATGAAGACTAGTGCAGAGGTAGGTGGGAGATCGGAAGCCTGTTCCATTTGGGAGGGAAGGCCAGGTGTCATCCGGCTGGCTGGCTGCGTGATCACGGGCTGCTTTAATCGCTTCTGGAAGTGCATCGATGCCTGTCACCAAGGCTCCTAGACGAGCAAGTGGCTGTACGGATGTTGTATAGTGTGTTTTTGGAATTGTGGCATTTGTTTTGATATGTTTGGGGCGATAAATGTGCAAGTGCATTAGGATAAATGAGCTTAAGGAGAATGCGTCTGTGAGGAGAGATATTTATGCGCGTAAGCAAATCAGGGAGTGAGAGGGAACAAAATCCTCAGAATTTGAGTTTTCAAGTTAATTAATGCTGGAAATTATGATGACTACTATGCCAGAGGACTTTGGACAAGATGCGTTCAACTAAGTCGCCCTGACAACAAGACCAAGTTGCGAAAACGAGCTCAGCCCACTTTTATCAATCGAAAAGAGACTGCGACCATACTGAGCACCACACCAACTTGGCCTTAATATCTTCGATAAAAGCTAAAGTAGGATTGAAAAGTAGATAGCTTGTTTCCTGATCGCGAAGCACTGTTCTATATGAATAATGAGCGAAGTATCCCTAATGAATAAGTTTTCGAGACTATAAATAGATTTTGAATAATAATTGCAGTCCCTCTAGGTCGTATAAGCTGAGGAAGGTCTGATAACAAACTATCCTACTCTGATATAAATAGGCCTCACGATGCTACTTGGTTTCATGTAGCGTTGTCTTCCAGAAAGTATTCTCATCCAGGATCCACTTCCGGTTCGATCTCGTCTGGGTCTTATCAGCACACCTGATGGTAATTAATACTCATGGCAGTGTAGGGTGATGGTAAAAAGTCGAAAATAAATGCCGCACCACCTGGGTTAGATTCCCGCCTGGGTGTTAATGCGACCCAGACGAGGTTGTGACTACAATCCACCTTAATTGGGAATACATTTTGGGAGGCAAGACCAGATAAAATTCAATATCATTACAACGCTTTCTCGAATTTTCATGAGAAAATGTGACTATCAGCACTTCATTATCTTGAATGATCTAGGGTGAGTACAGTTCCTATTGAAGTGTGTCTATCTATAGAAAGGTTAATTAGATTTCATTGTATCACATTACAACAAACCATAAAATCATGTCTAAGCTATAAGACTCTTGACTATGATAGATGATGCTTTCCTCCTGTAGTTAAATTAGAAATATGATAAATACCTGGTGTTAAAGTGAGACTTTTACAGGAATTATTTCCAGCTATGAGCATGTACATCAAATGATGATCGAAAGCTCAGCTCGTTTTCATCCTATTAAGGCCAAGCAGCTGCAGTACAACGGGAATCAGTCGTCGTCTTCTAATGAGTTCAACCTTCAAATCTGTTCTTCATTAACTTTCATGCGAAATGAAAATCTTCCTAACGATATTGGAAATAGCCTAAAAACCTTATTATTGCGAAATGATGCAAGATAAAATAAGGAAATAATGTGGAAGAGATTCTGGCAATATAAATAGTAATAAAATGGTGCAGCATAAATTTCACTTAGATTTATTTCGCGAAAACTTAACGGCTCTATTTTTTCTATTATTCACTATTAATTAATTCACTCGCCCTTTTCCCGGGAAATTTTAGAAGATGAAACAACAATTGGCTCGTAAACTCAACGGCTCGGGTGCACGCAGAAACGTATTCATAACTTTGGAAGGGCCTTAGTACCTATTTTATAGGAAGAACACTTACAAGTGAGCAGATCCTCTCAAATCAGGTGCATACAAATGATAAACTACAAGTGTTGAAAATTAAAAAGAAAGAAAAGGCTGATCAATTACTCCGAAAGTACAGCTTGGAACGAAGATTAATTTGGTAAAATTGGAAGATCATCTTCACTAAAAAAAATATGATTTTTGGGCTATTTTGGAATATGTGGAAACTAAGAAAGAAGCATTCCCTTCTAAAGCTAGGAAGGGCATTCGAAAGAATTATTGCGATTCTAGACCCTCATATTAGCTAGCCCAGATCCCCTTAGAGATAGATGTGTTTATGCCATGTGGCATAGCCACTAATAAGTGAATAAGCAATGGGCAGAAATAGAGGATCATCAGGCATTGAAGCCAATTAACTTATGGAAGCCATAGACAAAATCTCTGAAGCCTGATTGTTCGATTGGAAGCAAACAAAACAAATTCGATGGATTTTATAAAATATGTCCTCTGAACAAAATGAAAGATACCAAGGGATATAGTTGAAGTAGTCAGAAAACGAAGTATCCAAGTGTAAAGAGAATATCGAAACAAGTGTCGAACTTAGCTACTATTCATGGAACAGAGCTTTTGGGAAAATATCAAAACCAAGATTAGAGATAGGAAACGGTATAAATGAAAGTGGGGACCTAGACAACCTATGTTGCTTATAGTGATTAAAGGACGGATAGCTAGAGTTTTCTACATTTATACGATAATGCCCCATGATGCAATGTAACTCACTTAATCATGCCCCTTAAATTGCACTCACAATCAGGATAGATTGATGTACCTTAAGGTTCAAATATAAGCTACTGGCCAACCCAAAAATAAATTTAGCTTGAAGCATAGTAGCTCCGCGATCCCCAAGAAGAGGACGTTTATTTACGATACACGGGTCTTTTCAGCACTAGATATATAGCGGATACGATGAGTAACTGTATTTCGATTAATCTCCTGAGATAGAATTGGTAAGGAGAACTTCAATTCGTATAAAAGTGGAATAAAAGAAAATTCTTTCAAAAAAGATAGAACTAGTGAGAAAGTTGGGGATAAAGACAGTGTTCAAAGAAACCCTCACATTTTCAACAATTATGCCATCTTATAGTGATAAATATGAACCATTATCAAGATCCAGGTGATACAAGATTGTGTGCTCCTGTGGTCGGCCTTATGTTGGTGAGAAATGCAGGCCCATTTAACAAATACTATGGTAACACAAAAATGCTTGTAAAGAAAGCTGGGTCCAATGGTCAGAAGTGGCCGAAAACATTGAAGA